CCTCCCTGGTTCTCCTAGAGATGAGAGGCAGGGACTGGAACCTCCAGCTGTCTGTCAGGTCCCGTGGGCTTCTCTAACCCCACCTGCATCCTCTTCTTGGTTGAGAATATTGTCATTTGAACACAGTGAAATGCTGAGCTGCCCAAGGGCCACAGCCATGTGACAGCCCAGCCTGGCCTTTCAGCAAAGTCACTTGTTTGGAAAGAAAAGTCTCAGAGATGGGGCCTTCTGCCCGTTGCTTTGGGGACAGGCTGTCAGGATGCAGAGCTCTTGATGAGGGAGAAATCCCACCGCAGGGCAGCCTCCTGGGGACCTTGGGTAGGAGACAAGGACTGAAGTGATAGATGCAACATCTTTCCTCAGATGTGGGTGCAGCCCAGGGGTCTACTCAGCCACTGGGGGTAGGAGAGGATGGGCAGGGCCGGGGGAGCCCAGTCCCCGTCACTGTGGTGGTGACACACCTGTTATCTTCCTGTGGTCAGTCCGGATGAGGGGTGCACACATGGTGACGAGGAGAAGAATGTTCTGTGTCTTAATTTGACAACCAAATAGTAGTCATGTCCCCTGTGCCAGGGGGCTGGGGACACAGTGGTCAAACATCCCCCATCCCAGAATGCATATTCTGAAAGAGGGGGACGGCAGTGACAGAAACAAGTGGCTGGCAAGTGTCCAGGTGCAGAGTGTGTTGCAAAGGGGGAGTGAGGGGCGGGGGATTCTCATTTTGAACAGGAGGTCTGTGCCTCCCTGTGGGCAAGGGGCATGGGGACAGAGACTTGAGGATATAAGAGAGGGCTGCATATAACTCCGGGAAGAGCATGCCGGGCCGGGGGTATGGCAAGTGCGAAGGTCTCAAGGGAGGAGCAATGAGGCCAGGAGCACTGAAGGGAGTGAGGGGGACAGCTAGGGTGGGAAGGAAGGTCAAGGAGCCAGAGGCAGTGCTGGGGGCCTCGAGGGCCAGCAGTTTGGCCTGACTCCGGGTAAGTGAGGGCCTCCTTTGGGTTTTGAGTTGTGAAGTGACTTGTCTGCGGGCTGAAAGCTCCCTCTGGCTCCTTGCTGAGCCTCTTCTGAACCACAGGAAGGAGCAACGGGCTGGTGCTGGGAGGAAGACGTGGAGGAGGGGGCCCGGCAGGCTGGATGGAGCCCTGCTCCCTGTGGAGGGCACAGTGCTGTTTTCACTGGGGTGTGGGCTCCTTGCGCTCCCACGTCAATGCCTGGGTGTCAAGTTCAGAGGAGGGCACCGCGGCCCGGACAGCTTCAGTGGCCTGACTTCCCCGACAAGTTCAGAGGGGTCAGTTTGATGGAGGAAACAGAGCCCTGTCAGTTGGAGAAATTCAATAATTCCGCCCGTGCCCACCATCTGTGCCACCAACCAGAGGTCCCCTGAGACGCTCCAGGGGCGGGGCCGGCTTAAACTCTGGCTCTGCCGCCCACTGTGACCTGTGATCTCGAGCGAGTCACGGCTTGGCGGAGACAGGAAGGACCCAGAGGGCACAGTGTGGACGGGAGCTCTGGGAGCTCCTCAGTTCTGGTTTCCTTTCCTTCCTGGGCACCTGGCTGCACCCCAGGCCTCCCCTGTAGTCCGGAGGGGTCGGTGTCCATTTTTTGACCAACGGGGTGTGGCAGAAGTGCTGCCACCCCCAGATCCTTCACGGTGGGTCGGCTGCCTGCTCTCTTGCCCGTCAGGGCTGAGTGGAGGGGCTCCGAGGATCCTGGGACAGATCAATCGTGAGGAGGGAGCTGTTGCCTCCTCGAGCGAGATGCACTTTGCTTTAAGCCTCTGAGGCATGGGGATGTTTGTCTCAGCAGCTGGTCTTCCTGACACACACGGACAGAGCAGCAGGGAGGTGGCCACTAAGCTCTGTGGGGAGGTGGTGGGAGCACAGCGGCTGAGGGTGGACAGGGTGGGGTGGACAGGGTGGGCCCCAGGCTGACTTCCAGCTCTCCCACTTTGGGACAGTCACTGGCCTTTACTTTCCTCTCACCTAACTGGGGTGACAGTGACAACATCTGCCTCAGATGGTGGCCGTGGGGGTCCTGGTGATAAAGCCAGGCCTGGCCCCGAACCGGCCCCTACCATAGGCCCTTCCAGTTGCTCTTAGAGTCACTCCCTCCATCCTCTGTGTGTGGGGCCTGCAGTGAAGCGTTTGGGACCCAGGGTCCCTGTGGTCTGACTCCCAGCCCCACCGGTGGTCTGGCTTCGGGTTCAGTAGCTCTTTGAGCCTCAGTTTCCCTGCCTGCCACATTGGATTATGCAGACTGGTGCTGGCTTCCAGGCTGGGTCCTATCCTGGCCAGGCACCACGGACCCCTCAGATGTGTGGAATGATGTGACACTGGTCCCCGGGTCACCCTCGGGCACTGGGACCATCAGGTCCTGGGATTACTGTCCTCTTTGAACAGATGCCGCAGCTGAGACCCAGACCCCTGGGAGACTCTCTCAAGGTTGCACAGGCCCAGTGGACAGCAGCCACAGGGATGGGGCTCCCCCCACAGCCCCTGAGTCCAAGCACCTCTGAATCAGCCCACTGGGGTCCCTTCCTGCCTCTGCCCCACTGGCTGCATGGTCTGAGCCTGAGTTCCTCATCTTAACACAGAGAGACCACACCCATGCGGAAGCCAGCCTCAGGATGGCCCCCAGCGACCCTCAAGCCTGCAGAAGCCGGCAGAAGCCATGCTAGCCCCTCCCTTGACTAGGTTAAGAAAGGCACAGTGGGTCCCATTTCGGGTGCCTCTCTCTCTCTCTCTCTCTCTTTCTCTTTCTCTTTCTCCTTCTCTCTCTCTGTCTCTCTCTGTCATGCTCTGGGCAGGCGGAACCACCTGCCACATCGTGAGTGGTTCGTTGGCGAGGTCTGGGTGGTACGGAGCCTTTTCCCAACAGCCAGGCGAGTGAGTTTGGAAGCAGATCCTGCAACCCACGCAGACCTTCAGGTGAGGCGGCCTCTGCTGCCTGTTAGACGGCAACCTCACGAGAGACCCCAAGCCAGAAGCACCCAGCTAAGCCGCTCCCCAGTTCCTGACCAACAGGACACTGGGAGGACGGATGTTTGCTGCTCTCTTCCACACCTGAGTTTCGTGGGTGGTCAAGCTGCCCGCAGCAGAAGCGCCGTGTGGGTTGAGCCAGAGGATTCCCGCAGGCTGTGGGTGCCGAGCGGCTGGTCCCCAGGCAGTTCTCACGGTGAGGAACTTGTTAGTTAAGCTTTGCCTCGCTCTGCCCTCAGCAGTTGTATGGGTGATTACCAAGTGGACGTGGACATTTCCATGAGGAGCTCTAACGGAGATGCCTGTGTTTGGATGAAGTCTGGGAAATTTACGAGTGGCCATTGAGGAAGGCAGGCAGGTCCGCGTTGTGCGTTTCAGCTCCTCCTGCCTTGACAGAGGAAACTTGTGGCTCTCGAGTGTGCACACTTCAGAGCAGGAAAGATGCAGAAATTGAATTAGTTTGCACATTTGGGCTGTTGATGGCTTTATTCAAAGCCGTTTCGCTCGCTCACTTTTAATCTCTTCCTTCCATTTTTAAACAGCTGGCAGCTAAGTGGGGTTCAAGTGCGTCTCCTATAGGGACCATTGCAGGTCCTGCCACATTATCATAACCGTCTCTCAAGGAGGCTGCAGCCCGCAGGAGCTGAGCGGAGGAGAGATGGTGGCCACACCTAGAGGCTGGAGGGCCAATAAGAGGGGCACAGTGAGGGCCCGTGCATGTGGTGCTGGTGCTGACCCCTGTCACCGGGCGCACTGGGCACTGAGTGTGCTCCCAGGATTCTGACTTCCCTTAGCGCAAGCACTCCCAGCCAGAGGAGACCTAGCTTCCATTAGGAGTTATTACTGCTCAGCAAACTCAAATCGACCTCCCACTGTGGGCCAGGCCCTCATTCCCGCCTCACACAGGTGGTGGTGTAGCAGGATGAGCCGCAGACAAAACTCCTCAGACACCGGATTAAAGAAGGAAGAGGTTTTTTATTTGGCCGGGAGCATTGGCAGACTCGTGTCTAAAGAGGCGAGCTCCCCGAGAAAGAAATACTTGACCTTTTTAAAGGCTTACAACTTTAAGGGGTCCACGTGAAATGGTCGTGATAAATCGAGCAAGCGTGGGAAATGTGACTGGGGGCTACACGCATCAGCTAACAGAACAAAAAGTTTTACATACATGCTTTTTTCATACAGTGTCTGGGATTTACAGATGACACAAGTAGTTTAGGTCAGGGGTTGATGTTATTATTATTACTATTTTTTTAACTCCTAGGGTGGGTGGTGGTGCCAAGGTTGTCTGGCCATTCATCTTACTTTTGTGTCTTTCTAACTTTTTGCTTTCTGTCTTTTGTCTTGTGAACTAGGCAAGGTCGGGGGAGGAGGGCAGCAGGCGTAGTAGTGGTCTCCTTCCTTAGTGGTACAGCGCAGGTACAGTACAGTACAGTACAGGGCTTGGCCCCTGCAATGGCTGAGAAATCCGCTCTGTGAGGATTCACAACGACGGCCCCCCAAACCCAGGGGCGACTTCATCTCCTTTGGTTGGGAGCCTCCTTGAGAAGATGGAGGCTGAGCCTCTCTTTTGGTCAGAATGCCTCCTTGAAAAGATGGAGGCTGATCCTCTCTTCGTGAGTGGGTGGAGGAAGAATAAGGATTGGGGAACGGAGGAGTCGAGGGTCCAGGCACAGACAGGCCGGGAACGCCAGAGGAGGGAGGACAGCTCCGCTCATGCTTCTGGGACTGTCTGTAGAGTCTGTGGATGGCAGCCCAGGACATGGACTTCATCCCAGCTCCAGGGAATCCACAGAAGCCTTTATAGCAGGAAGTGAGGTCCAGGGTGTACCTTAACCGGGCTAACACAGCCACAGTGGAGAGGAATCACCGAAAGATGTAAGTAAGGCCCGTCAAGAGGTGGAGACCAGTGAGGGGCTCCTGCCCAAGGGAGAGATGGGGATGGGCCTCAGCCACGAGGACTGGAGGGAGTAGTGGGTCGTGGCATGGTGGGGGTGTGGTATGGTGGGGGTGGGGGTGTGGTGTGGTGGGGGTGGGGGTGTGGTGTGGTGGGGTGTCACATGGGTAGTGGGAGTGTGGTGTGACATAGTGGGGGAGTGGCGTGGTGGGGAGTGTGGTGGGACATAGTGGGAGTGTGGAGTGGTATAGTAGGGGTTGGTGTGGCAGGGGCCTGGTGTTGCAGAGCTTGACATAGCAGTGGGCAGATCTTGAAGTGGCGAGGGTATATGATGTGACGTAGTGGGGGAGTGACAGAGTGCAACCAGGGGATGGGGAACATGGCATGGGGTGTGGCAGGGCACAGTAGGGGCATGGCAAAGGCGTGGTATGGTGGGGGCTTGGTGGGTGTGGCATAGGTGTGACATGGTAGGCGTGGCACAGTGGGGTGGTGGCAGGTGTGGCAAGGGTATGACACAGTAGGCGTGGCATAGTGGGGGCTTGGGGGTGTGGCAAGGGTGTGACCTAGGTGTGGCACGGTGGGGACATAGCAGGTGTGGAGTGGGTGTGACATGGCAGGTGTGGCAGGTGCAGAAGGATCGTGGCATAGTGGGCCTGTGGCAGGTGTGTCACAGGGCATGCCTCACGGAGGAGACAGCTGAGGTGCAGGGGCAGGGCTGGGTGGCGCCCTCCTTTCCTCTCTCTCTGCTGTAGCATCTCAGCTCTCCCAACTGTGGTCCTGCCTGAGAAGCCTCCAGGGGAGGAAAGGACCCAGTGCTTGCCTGGGAGAGGAGACCTTTGATTTGCCGAAGAGCTTTTTACCACCTGACAAGGAAAGTGGCCCCAGCACGCATAGATCTTTAGCCCGAGATTCTGAAAAAAGAAAAGAAAATCAAGGACCTACTGACAGATGGTTCAAAATCCTGCTCGGAGTCTGTGAGCACGTTGAACTTTCGGTCAACGAGCACTGATGGTCTTTCCTGGTGCCCTAAGAAACTGCATTTCAACAGGAGAGATGGGCCAGAACGCCGGTGCCCAAGTAGGAAGTTGCTTCTGCTCGAGGAGTGGGGTTGCTGAGTGCTATGTGGAGCTCAGGGGAAGGGGGAACTCAAAGAGTCAGGCATGGGGGGATCAAGGAAGGTTCCAGAGAGAAGCCCACATAGGAAGTGGCTTCTGCTGTAGAGGTGGGGTTGCTGAGTGCTGTGTGGAGCTCGGGGGAAGGGGAAACTCAATAAGTCAGGCATGGGGGGATCAAGGAAGGTTCTAGAGAGGAAGGGAACCATGGATGGTCTTGGAGGAGGGATTTTCAGGAGGTGGGAAGGGCACCACAGAAGCCCAGGGGAACAACTCACTTTGGGAAATAGGCATGGGGTGGGGTGTCGGGGGCTGCAGAGGGGCCTTGGGGAGCATCAGGGACCATGTGGGCAGCCCACGCATGGCCTGTGGGTGCTGCAGAGTCTCGGAGGGTCTCAGGCAGGGGACTGGGGGCTTGAACCCGGCTCTGGCAGTTGTGTGAACTGTGGTGGATATAAGAGGAGAGGAGCGTGACCTGCCATGGGAGAGTACGGGGGCTGCAGCACCACCCAGACCCCCCTCACCTGGCTGTGAGCAGCGGAGCCCTCATCCACAGCCCTACCTCCCCGCCACTGCTCGGAGCTCTCAGGCCTCCCGAGGTTTCTGTTCATCACTGCTTCTGCAATTGAGGTCTGTGTGGGACTGTCCCCTCCCAACACCAGGGACCCCTCAGCTGCCGTTGGTGTTGGTGTCAGAGATGACAGAATTTCTCTGCGAAGAAAACGGACTGCCTGACGCTGTGATACGGGAATCAACGCAAACGCACGGCACATACTTGGAGTTCATGTGACGTTTTCTTTTGAAAGCGATACGTGGTGCCTAATAAAGGCCTATTCATTTGGGAAGACACATTCCTTGATTCAAAAGCTGATATGTGTCAAGGTAACACGATTAAAAAGCAAACTGGCATCCACACAGGCTTGAGATAGACACTCACTGGGTAGCCAGGGCCGCCACCTAAAGGGCTCCCGTGGGGTGGAGGAGGCTGGCGGGGTCAGGGCATCTGATTGGGCCGCCGAGTCTGGGGAGGGCTGGCTCTTTCAGAAAGGGGGCAGGGCTGAGGCAGGCAGCACTTTCACCCCCACCCCGCCTGTGTTTCTCACCACGTTTTCACCTTTTAATAGACGGGACTATTTTTAACTGGCTTGCCAACACTTCTGTAGGTCTTTATTCTCCACATTGAAAGCTGACAGAGAGGCATCCAGGAGGCACGATTGCTCCTCAGAGCGTGGAAGTTGTGGGAAGGCGCACAAGGGAGGAAGAGGGGGGATTTCAGAAGGGAATCCACCAAAGACGGGCGTGGAAAGGCTTGGCCAGCTCGGAGGAAGCTGGTTGAACTCTGTCGCGTGGCTTCAATGTTCAGGGTGGGATGGATGAGGACTGAGGTCTCCCAAGGATGGTGTTGCCCCTCCCACGGGCTGTTCTAATGTTCCAGGGACAGGCGAGGGAGGGATAGCCTCTCCTGCTCTGGACTCTGGATCGGGACAATCAGGGACATTGAGTCCCTGAGATGCATTTCTTCAAGGACAGAGGCAGAGGGTCACCCTGGCTCTGAGGCGGATGTGCAGGGTGGGTCCTCCAGGCCAGATCCCTCCTCTGCATCCTGATGAGGTCCAGACAAGCCCCTGACTCCAGCCCAGCCCATGCAGCTGGTCCTTGCTGCAGGCCAAGTGCTGCACATGGTCACTAACCACCCACATTGATGCTCTTGCCAGGCTCGCTGCTGAATACTCCCAGGGGTCCAAAGTGGCCCGAGCGGTGGCGGGAGGGGTGAGTGACCTGTCCCTGGAGGCACTGGGAAAGCCAGCGCTGCCGCTCCCGGAAATGCGTTAAGGATAATCTGGGCACTCTCAGGGATGGCGTGCGCGGGGGGGCAGGGCACAGGGGAGGAGCCCAGGGGTGCCCTCAAAGTCCCTCCCAGCCAGGATTCACCACGGGCCCAGGCTTTTGGAAACCTGAAAAGAAAAGAGGAGGAAGTCATAACAGCAGGCTGAACTCAGACCAAAATAAAAGCCTGCTGCCCAATGTGCCCAATATTTCACGGGCATCTGGCTGGCCTCGAGATCAATTGCAAGGTTCACAGAACACTGAGTGCCGTGCATACAGCAGGCTGTCCAAAGATGCCTGTTGAAAGACTTCCCACCGTCTACAACACGTGTGGTGAGTTTTCTCCTGGATCCGCCCCCTCCCCTTACAAGTCGGTGCCATCGACTTCACAATGATGTTCACAGGGCGGTGGTCGAGACCAGCCGGGCCTCTCTACCCATGAAGGTCCCAGCCTTACCAGTGGCCTGAGGGGGAAGCCGGCAGCAGGGAAATCACCAGGCAGGCAGCTGATCCTGTGACCGAGTGGCTCTGACCGGGTCACCAAGACCCCGAGAGCTCCTACGGCAGGTCCTGGTAGGCAGGAGCTCTGAGAAGGTTGGGCCAAGCAGGTTCAGCTCAGGCTCTGCTACCAGGTGGCGGGGCTCGGCCCCCCTTCTTGAATCTCGTTCCTTGCCCTCACCTCTAAAATGGAAAAACTGGAAGTGGGTCCTGAGGTGTCTTCCAGACCGGAGGCAGGTGAAACGAGCCCCACGTCCTTCCTCTTTGCCGGCAGCACTCCCAGCTCGAAGGCTGCAGGGGCCATGTGTGGGGTGTCCGTCTGGTCTGCGTTATGCTATGGTGAATCTTTGCTCTTTTCACGCACATAGAAATTGCTCTGGGGCCAGGCCAGGCCACTACAGGTGCTGGCCTCTATGGCATGACCAGGGCAGTGGCGACCCCATCAGCCCAGTGCCAGGCCTGCGTTCGTCCCAGGGAGGGCAGGGAAGAGCAAGACACACAAGGACCTGGGCCCAGGACCCCCACTCCCAAAAAAGGACTTCGCATCTCATTGGCCAGGACCGGCCACGTGACCCCACTTCCCCACCAGGCTGGTCTTCCACCTCTCCCACTCCCCAGAAGGTGGGCTGGGAAACAGGACCTGACGAGCCCCCAGGACCGCCTCTACCTCCAACGCTGATGCTAAAGGACCGCATGGCCACTGGTGAGGGAGCTGTGACCGAGAAAGCAAAGTAATTATTTAAGTGATGGCTCATTCCAGGTGGCCTTGCCCTTTCATCTCATATTAGATGCCTTATTACACTTCAATTAAATTCCCACTTAGGATGGCGCTTAAAAGGCATTTCCGGGTGGGTGAGCCGAGCCTGGTCGATCCTGGCTTCCCGGAGAGGTGACGGCCTGCAACGACATGACCCGCCGGTGATGAATTGCTCTGCGAGAGCACTGCCGACCCTTGGCCGAGGGAAGGAATGAGGTTCTCATGATGGATAGCTTAAGGAGGGCTGTTTAATTTCCCGCAATCACCTGTCCCTCTGTGGCCGTCGGCGGCGGTGACTGCGTCATTTTCTGTGTTGGGTCCATCCATCAAGTAAACATAAGGTCAAAAGTGTTTCTCGTTTCATTGCCAGGGGAGACCTTATACGGGGAGGTGGGCAGGATGGGTGCCGTTCTTAGAGCAGGGATGGGAGTTTAGCAAATGAGAGAGAAAACCCTGATCAAGCACAGGCATCTCGTTCGGGGCTGATTCACACAGCCGGAAAGAACAGGCGTGTTTTCTTTTTAATTTGCAGATGTCCAGAGGCTGCCCGTGCTCAGTCCTGGCAGGGGACACGCTCAAGGGTGTGTGCATGGCTGGCACAGAACTTCCCGCCTGCTGGGGAGTCAGCTCAAGCAGGACCTTGCCCAGAGGCTGCTGGGCAGTGGCACAGCTGGGCAGCATCTTCCTTCCACGCTGGACGGCGCTCCCTCTGTGTGTTGCTATTCTCAAAAAGGACATGGTGTTTTTGCGATGCCCCGCCCCCAACTGGAGAGGGAGGCACATGTGTAAGTTTAAGTCGGGGTTACTGTTTTCTCTTTGTTGTCAGGGGGCCACCAGGGAGAGCAGAAGAATGTCCCATATGTTAGTGACAAAGCTGTCCCATGGCTGTCAGGGGCTGGCGCCCTCCTCCCTTCTGCTCACACCCCCTCTGCCCTGGGCCCCTCCTCCAAGGGCCCCTCAGGTCCCTGCCCTGGATAAGGGGTTGACGAATCTTAATCCCCTGGCTTTTCCAGTCCATTTGAGTTCCTAGCGCCACGCCGCTGAATTTGGTGTTCTCAGATGATTCGTCTGCAGCCGGCTGCAGCCAGATATGCTCCCCATCTCCGAGGTATCCATTGCCAGCCTTTAAAAATAGCTTTATTGGCCGGGCGCGGTGGCTCACGCCTGTAATCCCAGCACTTTGGGAGGCCGAGGCGGGCGGATCACAAGGTCAGGAGATCGAGACCACAGTGAAACCCCGTCTCTACTAAAAATACAAAAAATTAGCCGGGCGCGGTTGTGGGCGCCTGTAGTCCCAGCTACTCGGGAGGCTGAGGCAGGAGAATGGCGTGAACCCGGGAGGCGGAGCTTGCAGTGAGCCGAGATCGCGCCACTGCACTCCAGCCTGGGCTGGGCGACAGAGCGAGACTCCGTCTCAAAAAAACAAACAAACAAACAAACAAAAAAAAAATAGCTTTATTATTTTCCCCCGATAATAAAACGAATACATAGTTATTGCAAACAAACGGATGAGAAAATGCAGCAAGTATGCAGAAGGACATGGGGAGCCTGCTTAGCCGACCTCCGAGTGTCTGTGCAGGAAGATGTGCCTGTCTGCCACTAAACGGGACGTCCCTGTGCTTGCACTCTAGGAGCCAGCTCTTTTCCACCTGGTTCTGTGAACATCCATCCACAGCCATAAATGTAGTGCCATGTGCTCACTTTGTTGGCCACACTGAGTGTCCGTTAAGAACCTGGTCTTCAAATTCGGCCAGGTGTGACCCAGGGTGATGCTGGGAACCCTCCGAGTCTAGTTTTGCTTTGGGGAACGGGGGCTATAGCACCTCCTCCGTCAGAGTATTGCTCCCGGGCTGTGGGGAGACACAGCTCTGTTTGGCGCAGGGTTTGGCTCCGACCTGGCGCCCAAACGGCATCCTCTGTGACCCCCACTTCTGTCACGGACTCCCTGCACAGACATATGGCCAGAGCAGTGCATTCCGTGCTGAAGGGCTTGTGAACTTCATATAACACAGCATTAAACATCCTTGCTGCTTAGTCTTTGCTCACTTGGCTGATTTAGCTCCAAGATAATTTCTCAAATAAAGGAGCTGCTGGGTCTCTGGGTCACTGTATGGTTGCGAGTATGTTTAAGAATCAGACCCAGGAACATCTGTGTGGCTCTTAGAATAACTCAATGCCTGTAGTTGGCAAACAGACCACGCAGCCCAGGGTGGGAGGGGCTGGCAGAAGATGGGCGGTCAGAGGCCCACACCTTCTGCTGGACCCATGGCCCTTTGCAAGCTGCAGGGCCAGCAGCTACAGGTACCACTACTGCCACCGTCTCTGACAATTCCTGAAAACTGGGGCCCACATTTCCTATATTCCAGGTGACAAGTTAAGGGCCAGGGAGAGAGGGCACTCGGACGCGGGGCTGAGAAGGCCCACCACCAGTTGTGTCTGGGTGGGGTTGAGTTTCTGAAGGCCAAGGCCTCGCCCACTCTGCTGGCCCTCGGCCCACCTGTCCCTCCACTCTCTAGGACAGGAACGTGGCTAACTCCAGGCTGAGTGTGAAGAGGGAGCGGCCTGGTTCTGAAAACACAGAGACTACCACAAGGTCCTCGCTGTCCCTGAGAGATTCTGCTGCTGTCTTTTTGCACCAACTAATGAATTAAGATGAAAGGAAAACTCTTGGCTGTAGCCTTGAGAAATAGCATCCACTGTGGATTTGCTGGGGCTCCTCACTCCATCAAGCTATTGCTCATAATAGATCCACTAACCTATAAGGGCCTG